AAAAAGTCTATTAATCGGCAGTTGACTTCTGACTTTAAACCACCAACACCCCACTACATGTCATATTCCACCACTTCCACAGTACTCATCTTGCCTTTTCTCGGCCTTTGTGTCTGTTTGTCTCATTTTTTTACATCTGTGAATCGCTCTTCTGTCCCTCCTCTTGAATTTTTCTCGCTTTAATGTTCCTCCCTTCTGTGAAGCCCAAAGTCAGCTAAAGGGCTAACGATAACCATCAAAATGTCTGCCATTTGATATATATATATATATATATATATATATGGCAGCTTTAGGATTGAAGTAGTTATCTTGTCGTGCGATTGAGTTGAATCACCTTCCTTTATTTCACAGATCAGAGCTAATTCGTTTGATAGTAAGAAAACAAAGTGCGTGCAAATTTAAAAATTGCGTGGTGACATAGCTCGCATTGTTACAGTTTCAGAACGTTGCATTACGAGAGTTCATGGACTTTGACACTAACTCAGATTTGGGCTCAAGAAGAACACAGTAGCATTTCAATTTCGGTGTGATCATACTAAAAGCAAGCAATGGGTCTGAATAGAAATGAATATTCATAAAATACAGAAATACGATGATAGGACAACGGTTTTGCCTTTAGAAGGCGACTAAATGAAAGAAGTGCATTAAATCAAACACCATTTTATTCCATTCGCACTTAAACGAATTAAATCGAATATTTTTTTTAAAAAAAGTTTAATTAAAGCCTCAATAAGGTGTGACGCAAAAAGAGGGAACATCCTAAAGTTATCAAAGGAGATGTTCTAAGCACTAAATAAGAGTGAAAAAGTATTCGGAAGCCGACTCTTCAGACAAATAACAATTTAAGCAAGCATTATTATTACTATTATTATTTTCATAACCGCTATTATATATTAAAAATAACTTATGGGAGGGAAACAGTAAGCACAGATCTAATAAAGTATGAAATGAATGAAAGGGTCAGTGAGAACCAGGCGGGGGAAGTTGAAACATAATTAGTCTTAATTAGTTTGACAAGAATTTCAACAATGAGATGTCTACTAACTACACAAAATATCCTAAAGTTCAATTTTCATGGACCGGATTTCCATTTTCAGGGATGAAATCACCAGCCCAATGTCAAATTCTTCATGATCACCTATGACGTATCAGATCGACTTACTTGCACCGTGTTACAGCCAGAAGGGAGTGAATTAAACCACCAAATAATGCGAATGCCAAAACTAGATCATACTCTTAGTTGGGTTAATAAAATAAGGAGATCCAAAAATTTCCTTGGCTCGTGACGAATTTGACCTTTGCAGCTATGAAGGATGACTAACACCTACAGATTTTATGACTCTAGCAGTTGCGGCAAGCATAAAAATGAGCCAAGTTTTAAAAAAAATTCGCGCTCCCCGATCACGTACAGAAACCGAAGGTAGTCGGCACATTCGGCACATGGTAAGACGTGCGGTAGCCCTTCAACATTACCCAACAGTATCTTTTGGAAGCAACACCGATGAAGCGAGTGGCATTTTCCCCACTTCCCAGGTTCCAATCTTTACTAAGACCATTTGGAGCAACAGAAAATGCCTCCGTTTAGTTGAATGGAGTAGATATCGATTTCCACAATCGTTGGTTGTTAATCAAATTGACTGACGAAGTAGTATTTTATTAAAGCAAAGCAGACAAGGAATTTGATTTGTCAGACACATATTGAATATCACTAGAGAAGTTAATGCTAATTCAAAAAAAAACAATATCAACCCCAAATGCAATGTTCGCAAAGACGAAAAACACATTACCTATACGAGGGTTCAAAATAAATGATAATTGGTAGACTTTCTAGAAGGGTAGAACACGGTCACCTCAAGTTATTATTATGAAGGCGTTTTAAAGAAGTTGAAAACACCCCCCTTTTCAAGAAAAAGGGTGCGAGAAACTGCCCAGTCAAATATTGTTCAATCATGCCAATGCCTCTGCGAATTCCCCCAATTGAGCGAATTTCGATGGGTTGACACTTCCACACCATCGTTATGGTCCAGATCTCGGACAATTTTTTTTTCAAAACTAAACGCACACTTTAAAGCATATAATTTCAGGGTGACAGAGACAGCACTCAAAATTTTCACAACGAGGGAATTTACAGGTGAAAATATTGCTTACAAAGGTGCATAGACAACAATGAAGCCTATGCAGAAAAATTAATAAAATCGCTTGTCAAACAAATAAAGTATCGAATTTGCCTGAGAACTTATTGACTCACGTTCGTATAACAAATAATTTTAACCCCAAACTCCTTTTCACACACTCAGAATAACGGCTCGAAAGTGGTTGGATGAAATACAACAAGGTACCACCACTTACTTGCAACAATTACATGCTCCTTTAGAGACGGACTAGGGGAAACAAAATGCGATCGCTGACGATTGTCAGTTGAATCCGCCTCTAAAGTGGAGGGAATGCTACAAGTTCCCGTTGTGGTGGTTGTGTTGGTGCTATTTGAGAAATCCGACCTTGCAGATTCCATGGAGTTGGGTCGATTATGGTGTTGATAGTCACGGGTTTGGGATTGATTATGTGAGTGCTGGGGCTGTCTGTGGGGTTGTTGAGGTGTCTGAGCTTTCCTCACACTATATTGACTCTGTTGATGGCTGCAGTTAGAAGTTGTCACCTAAATGCATTAAATCGTAAATACAAGAATCGTGAATACGGAGACGACAGAAGTGGTTATTTGAAATCGTGATTTCAAATAGAACACAAGAAATGATGTGAACACTGTTGGGTAAGGTGATGAATATTAACCTAAATTCTCATGATCAACTTCATAGTTGAAAGAAAAGTATAGTTCTTCTTGCTTTGTTTGGCTATACTTTTCAAATCATGACAGGAATGAAATTGGCTAAGATCAGTCCTTGTTGATCTACTCTAACTCAAAAAATGTCTCAGAGATCAGTTGATGCTGACTCATAAATCCAAGCACTGAAGGAGACGATGTGAAAATTTGAGAGACCCAAGGAGATTATTTGTTCCAACACGCATTTAAAGGAATTGTAGGTGACAGTGCTCCCTCAATTTCTATGACTTTATTTCCCCCTCCTAGGATATGCGATAGACTTACCTTCACGTAGAGTACCCTAGGCAACGTATTCTCATACGACAAAAAAGTCCATATACCGGCAGTTGAATTCTGACATCAAACTACCATAACCGGGCTGTATGTCATATTCCACCACTTGCATAGTACTCATCTTACCTTTTACGCTACCTTTGTCTCTTTTACACCTGTGAGTCACTCTTCTATTCCCCCTCCCCCCCCCCTCCTCTCAACTACTTGTGACTTTGATGTTCCACCCCTCTGTGAAAGCCGAAGTCAACTAAAGGGCTGCACTTCGGTGCAAATATATCCACCTCTCCTTCATGAACAAACGAAGCTTCAGTAGACCACATAAACAACTGTACAAGAGACTACTTTTAGTTCAGTATTCAGTCTTCTCTTTGAATAAGCTTACGATTTGGTGTGCCAACTTTCAGACGATCAGTTAAAGTAACACAGCTTCTGGTATTACACCTCCTCTCATCAATGAAAACTTTTCTTTCATCCAAAAAATTGGTTCACTGGAAGCTGAAAGGAGCACTATGTTGCTGTTTGATCTTGAAATGAACAATTCCCACAGGCTGTCTCGAATTTAGTCATCTACCTTATTGATATTACGAGCACTCGCTAACCCCGATAACTCGACCGTACTCTCTGGGAGAGGCTGATTTTAGTCCAATTGTATTTTGATCTCAAAAAATGTCACTTAAACAATCTGTCATAATTGTTTGCTTAATAATAAACTGTGTTGAAATAACTGCACCGTGTCTTTTAGTCCCTCTCCCGAGTCTGAGCTACACAACTGCAGCGAGTTCCAAGTGTGTCAGAAACTAGACTTACTGGAGCAGCCACAGTGCGGAAGATTCCTTATAAGACTAAGATAACACAACAAAGTGCAAGACAACTAATCTGCGCCATTCTAGGGATATGGATGGAGGAAGTTTAAGTGAAGTTGCAAATGAATCCAGTGTACGACTTAGGCGAGAGAAAGCATATTTGTTAACAATAATGGCAATTTTGCGACAATGCCAAGTAAGCTGACTACCTTAGCATTTTTCAATACGCTTTGTTATTATATTGCGGTTTAAGGAGATAAAGTATTTTGACTATTCAACTTGGACCCTAGACATTTTAAGTCTCAAGAATAGGTCATGTCTGTCAGAAGTCCTAAAGATATTTAGATAAAATATGCTATTGGAATAATTAGGCGTTGGAAACGAGTCCTATGAAGGAGTCTCGAGAGAGAGCCTCAGGATGGAAAGTCATCGGAACAAAATGAAACGCAGAAACTAGTTGTAAAGTGATTTCATTGGAATAATGCAGTAAACTAGCTCAGATCGACATACAGCTGATAGAGATAGTTTGAACCCCAACCAACTCAAAAAAGGGAAGAAACAGTAAGTTAGGGATCTGTTCTGAGAAATTAAGCAATTGGAGTGGCTAACAAAGATGAAACGATAATAATAACCCCCATTTAAATATGATTTAAGCAAATTAGTGCTCGAACTAGTATTATTAGACTTGCGGGAACATCAACCCAGCTAAAGACAACTTCGATAGAAGGTTTAAGAGAAGGAACGGAATTACGAAATATTTATGAGAAATGAAAGGAAATTGGTTAATAACAAAGAGAGAAGAACAATAAATTCAACTTCATATCTCTGACTACTAAAAGCAGCTTCAGAGCTAGGTCAGCATAAAAGATTCATGTAATTAAAAATGAAAGCGAAGCGAAATCTGAATAATTAAGAACATGATTCGACCACTAATCACCAATCTAATTGAAAAAGGGTCTTTCAGATAATATTGTGCCATTGGAAAGTTAAATCGGATTTTCTTCGAATATCCACCTCTAGTTCACTGGACTATCGATCAACGGTTTCCATACTCGTATATGATTATCCAAGACTACCACTAAAGTCGTTGCCAATGCAAATAGTGGTTAGCTACGCAGCATACCATTTGCCACGTATCCACTTCTATGTAAGAAAAAATTACTTATTTATTAGAAAAGCTGGCTTTTACTAATCAATTGGATAATAATAATAGCAGTCATACTAGCCTACCGATAACTTTTCAGATCCGTTAGGTCTGAAGCCAGTAGACGAGGTCACAGAAGATACCAGAGATGGTGGTTTAGGAGGAGGTGGTGGATTAGGACCAGGCCAAATGCGAAAACGGCAACAACCACTAGATCCTAGCTGAATTATGTCTCCAGGAGAGAGCCAATGGGCGCTTGAAGAGGATACTCTATGTTTTCTCTCGGGGTTGTGTGAATTAACGGTGGGCGGGACAAGTCTTCGACCGTTAACAAGAACTGGTGCAACCGATTCCTGGGCAACTGGAGCACAAACTAACCAACCACGAGATGGAAGAGTTTCTTTTGAAGAGGGCTTCCAAATGACTAGATGAAATGGGAGTACGTCCGGATAGGCGCTGTCTGGAAGTGTCACAAGAAGAGGGAACTTGGTAGAGGGGTTTTGAGAAGTACCAATACAAACCTAAAAAGAACAAGGAAACAGAAGGAATCAAGCACCTATGATTATAAACAGTTCGTACTTGAATATACCAAAAAAATAGAAAGAAATGAGTAGAAAGCAGCATGTTTCAACTAACTAACTTGCATTCGCAAACACTCCTCAAATTATCTTATTCGAGATGAAACTAAGAAGGAAGTATTCTTGTTTCTCTATCTGCATTAACAAAAACCGCATTTTCACCAAAACTTGAGTGTAAATGGCCCACCATGAAGGAACACTTGTCCTCACATAAGACTGTCTTAACTGAATAGTAATGCATCCACAACTAAAAGTAAGCATGCGTTAAGACGAATTAAGCAAAAGAATGAAGATGATTTATATTTTTTTTCTCCATTTCGATGACAGAATGACTTGTAGTAGCAGCAAGTGCACGATTTCAAAAAAAAAATGAAAACTCAATAGATGGGAGTGAAGCCACCGCTCAACTAACTCGATTGCCCGGATTCTCTCTCCCAAGAAAATGGGTGAACTAGTTACACCTCCTAGCTACTCATCTTCAATGAGACGAAAAATCTCTCCAACACCTACGTCCATGAAGGACAAGGACACACAAGGCGAAATTCCAAGCCGATGGGAAAGCTTGTTTGAAAAGCCGAATGCCTCTAAGTTTATTCTTCTCAAACCAAGTCAACGCTAGACTGAAAACTACATCTCACTTCAACATATATACGTTGATTGTCCCATACAATTGGACCGCGAAAACCAAAGGTACTTTTGCACCCACAAAACGTTTTTTAGCTCCTTCCCCTGGAACAACGTCAATAACTACAATTGTACATCTTTTTTTCACTTACTAATTAGTAGGAGAAGTAAACGAAGGGAGACGACAATTGAGATTCAACATTGTGATTATATGATACTATCAGGCAAATTAAATAGAACACAATAAAAACAGGATAATAGCACCTGCAAATTAGCAGGCAAATCCTCCTCCTCCTCATTAGAGGGAGAAAAACACTCCAGTGCTAAAATACAACCGTTCTCATCGGTAATTAATCAGAATAAACAACGCCTGGGTATGGAATAAGCGGACAAAACAAATTTCAACAAAAAGAGCTCCTTACAGAAGTATAAACAAAAATGCAGTTGTGTTGTTTGTTACTTGGAGCCACCTTCAAAGGGCAAAAGAATTCGTGTTAAGTAACACATTATTAAAAATAAGTGATTTGTTTTTCTTGTTCATTAGCGCAGAGGGCGCTATTGTCGTTTGAAACATGTTCAATACGTGTCTATAGCCTTCGCCTGATACACCACCAAAACTCATCACGTCGGCGGCATCAGTCTGCTGTGACACGCACGTGTGAACGTGGTTGGATGCATTCTTCAAACGATACTTCGGGCGTTAAAGAGTTAAATCCAGTACGCCGGTGATTGATGAAAAATGCTGTCAACTCAAAATTTTATTTTAGAACAAGTCGAATTCGATCAGTGATTCATGCTGTAGTTGCATGGAAGTAAAACAGGAATTTGAAGGACATCGACAACTCAGAGGACAAATCAGACGTCTGGAAGCTAATTCCCACTGGCTGTGCATGCAGCATCGTAGATGGACTTGCTCACTAGTTAATTCTGATAAAAAAAGGAAGACAGAATGTGCGTTTCTAGTAAAAAAACTCACAATTAATCCATAAGTGTCATTAACTCTTCCCACGAAGTTCTCGAGAATATTAAAACAAATATTACCACAAAATGGCGCAAATTTTACCGAGAATGCAACGGGAAATCCTGATCTGAAAGTCCCACTAGTTCAGATAACATTTCAAAATTTGTTTGTTTACTAAGAACCGGTAAAATTCAAACACATATAGAGAGTACCTTCGAATTACAATTCTACCAGTCAGTTTACATTCGGCATAATTATTAAGATCTGGGATAAATTGTCAGTAGAAAACTAAGAAAAAAGATGCATCATGAGCCAATTAACAAAAGTGCTAAGTTTTGCAGTGGGAAGGCGTTCTGAAGCCGCGTTTAAAAAGACTCAACTTCTACCACTCGTTTGATTGAATGCAAATATCGCTCGCGGTAGGTCACCCACATAACTGAATGAGAGGTGTCGAACCTGTAGCCTAAGGCTTATCAGCCCCCCCCCCCCCAAAAGAAGGTGGTTCTGTAAAGTTGTCCCGAAATGTAATTACTGTATTTTACCGAAATATTTCAGAACCAATTTTATGAAGACACGATGAGACAAGTCAGCGCGGGGTCAAGACACTTAAACCATTTTCAGGTAAAAACTGTGATTTTAGACACCCCTTAGGCATCAGTCCTTGAGGTCATATAACCAAGCATAAACATCTGAATTGATCAATAAAATACATCCTGAAAAAGTGGTCAAATGCGGTAAACGTATTATAGGGCATTTTTTGGATTTTTACAACGAGTTTCCCCAATTAAATCAACTGCGTAAACACATAAGCTCAAGAAAAGGATTATGAGAAGGAATATTTGGGGGGGGGGGGGTATTGACAGGAAAATAGCAAAATTAACGATAAGCATGTGGATAGTCCGGTATTTTGGTGACGTTATAATGGACTGAGCGTGGCATGGCAACAACCAATCAAAAGGCGGGGTTGGTAGACATGAGTCATGTTCAGTCAGTTGGTGACGCCCATTAAGGGAGGAAAATAAAGAATTCCGGAGGCAACTTAGCGACACCAAACAGACATATTCAAGTGTCAGGCTTTTGTGGGCACTGTAGACAAGTTAAGCTGTCATCTGGAATGACAAGCTTCCAGGCTGCCTAGGTTAATTGCTATTTTGAAATGGCACAATCGTCAACGTGACAATGAATAATGAAGACACATAAGGCCACTCCAACCCTTTACATCAATTTTTAATTTGGCAAAATAGCTCAATCTCTTTTCCATACTCGAGTATAAATGTGATCTAACTCGAAAACATTAGCTTTTCCACCTGTTTTAATTAATTAATAAATAAACGGTTTTGTTTTAGAATACGTCGGAAAAGCAAAATGCAAAAAACTAGCCTGTAAAAATAGTATTTCCCTTACCGGAAATCAGTGAAACGAAAATGTGTTATTATTACTTTTAACAAGCAGCGCAAAAGACAACAACAAGTCAACGGCACTAGAGGTGGTTGTATTCGCGTTAGAGTTGTTAATTTCAAGCAACTTTTCTTAAAGCATGCTTTATTTGTTCCCAATAAAGCATAACATATCTTACCAATTGACCTTCATGAAAATAATGGAGCAATTGAAATGAATACCTGCGAGACGCATAAATGCTGTTATATGGAATTTGTGGAAAGCAGACAGATTAGCCAATGACATAGAAGATTGTGATAATACGTGAATATATGTTGGCTGTACTTAAGAAATTTCTGGAGTCAAATCGCAGCTCCTATCAACTGCCAATAGGGTCTTCTTAACAAAGAGAGATGACAAAGGAGCTGGCCTTTAAATGGTAAATATTTGCAAACCACAAATTCTACCTCTTAGTCAAGATCGTCTGTTCGATATAAACCGACTATTTACCTCAAATGGTTATATTAATAATGATTCCATAAAACATTATCTTTGTTGGGAATGTGTAATGAGGGAAAAAAGTAGTTAGAGCACTGGTGAACTCCACTTGATGCACAATTTGCACCAGAGTTGATGCACCAAAACTCCGCTGATATTACCACTCAAAATATCAGAATATCAACACATTCAATAGGAGTCTTGGCAGGGAAGTTGTAAATAATAATGTGTGAAAATAAGAGGAGAGAAATACAACGTTAGGAAGAGTCAACTCACATAAAAAACACAGTGGAAGTGACAAGCGTAGAGTAAGTAGGCCGTAAAGGCAGTGATTGAAGTGTGAGAATAGCTTCTACTACTGTGGCTTGGAATTCTCTTATGCAAATGGACGCGCACCAATGATGGATTTGGCACCAATTGCATAAGAGTCAAACAGCTGTGGGTGAGCAAAAAAACCCCTTTGCATATGTGAATTTGGAGCGCAAATACACATGAACACACACACACACAGAAGCACACGTTAGAGAATGAGGCATTGGGAGCCAAACCATAAAGTGAACGAAATTTGAGCATTCCATGGGTGTGTGTGTGTGTGTGTGCATGTGTGCTTGTGCATATCAATGCCAAATTGATGTCAATTCAATCCGATTGGTTGAGAAGACACTATTTAAACAAGAGGCTACGAATTGAATACTGAAAACGGCACTGAGGGGAGCACCGCCCATCGGACCTGCCTTTTGCTGATTCATGTGATCCGAAAACGATAGGAGTAGGAACGCTATTTGCTCCTTCAAATTATTTCAAATCTGAACTTCCTAGTCGAAATGAAAAAAAATACACTGGATATCAGGTTTCACGTACTTCAATGACCAATTCGAATGTGCTTGATTGGAAAAAGTAAACACCACTTTCCAAACTTTGGAAAACCACGATTCCACCTAGTTGGTTGGAAGACTTCAAGTTTTCCAGACAGATCATTTACCCAACAACAAAAAATATTGCATTAACTTGAAATATTTGATCAGCCTAGGACACACATATTTTATAAGTCCTTGAACATCGCAATGGAGCTACCAATTTCTACTAATCTTTATGTATAAATTATCTGTCCTTGACTAAAGGTATGCGAAGTGTACAGAAAAAATTGATCCACGATATCCAATTACCGAGATAATCGTTTAATTCTTAAATTCACGAATGTTGGAATGGAAAAAAAACATGGGAGTACGGAATTGGCACGCCAGTCAGTAAAGCAAATCGTACACCTTATTAGAAAGCTTCAAAGCCACACTGCCGTTGAAATTGTTATAAATACTGTAACTAAGTAGGATATTATTATAGTAGACAAAGAAAATGAAAAAATCTGAGACCACATTGTCTTTTTCTGTGCTTATATCTAGGTAAATGCAAAGATGCACGAGGCGGAAAATTTAATTTCCAAAATTTAGATGTCAATTAAATAAATATTTGGAACGTTCGGAGAGTAGCCCCAGTACTTAGGGGAAACTGATGGAGAATTCGACCCACAGGTAATCGATTCTTTCATTCTCGCCTAAGCATGCAGTATTACTTCAGTACAGGAGTGTGCGATAGACTTACCTTCGCGTGATGCACCCTGGGCAACGTATATTCATACGGCAAAAGTCTATTAACTGGCAGTTGACTTCTGACTTCAAACTACCCTCACCCCATTGTATGTTATATTCGACTACTTCCACAGTACTCACCTCACATTTTTTCTACCTTCGTCTTTGAAGCACTCTTCTGTTCCCCCCCCCCTCTCGACTTTTTTTTCCACTTTGATGTTCCTTCCCCTCTGTGAAGCCTGAAGTCAACTAAAGGGCTAATGATTACCCTCAAGACGCCTGCCATTTGATATAAATAAATTATTCCAGTACTTCTCATGCTCAAAGGTCCATTGAAGAGGCCTACACACAACCAACTAAATTTCAATATTGCCTATGATAAGCTAATATGAGTCAGTTTAAATAATCCTGTCTCTTTCAAAACGCCAAATGCCCGAAAGTTTGGCACTTGAGATCCCTAATTACTGTTG